AAACATGCAAAAGTGTGTTCTCTGTAGAGCCCATGTGTCAAACACAAGGCCCGTCAGGCCCATGACACAGTCCCATTCGGCCCATGAAATTTGTTACATTTTCTATTCTTATTAACCTGTTTCACCCTGAAATGCACCACAGTCCCCAGCATGCACTGCAACATAATGTGTATCCTGACCCCTCTTCCCCCACCAACAACAATCGATGGTCCAGCGGTTACACAGAAAGAAAAGATGCCTGACATCTAGTTCAAGCAAATAGGCAGTTTAAAAAATATCTAAAACAATTTATTTTTATTTAGAATTATATTTGAATAAGTATTTAGTGCCTATTTTGCTGTTGCAGTTTTGTCATATTTTGAATAAACAATGGCCCGTTCAGATCAGTAAAAATTGAATAAAAACACAACTGGTCGGCAGATTTACTGAGATTTTTTAAAAAGGTCTTCTTAGTGGTTGAGTTCGACACCACTGTTGTAGAGGATGTGTTCACATATTTTCACTTTTATTAATCAACATATCATTTGACCAGGGGTGCCTAAACCTTTGCACATGGCTGTACACAATAAAACAAGGTCACGTGTGTGTGTGTGTGTGTGTGCGTGTGTTGTGAGATGTGTGTGAACGTAGGGCCGCATGTGGCTTAATATGGGTTATTTACAGAGCCACAGGTCTGTCCTTATGAGATCCAGTCCTGACCTCCTTTGTTGATTAAGATGAGCTTGATTAATTAGTGCTACACAGAGGAGAGTTATCTTCTTAATTAAGATTCCCCCATTTGTGGAGAGCTTCCTCCTGGCAGGCTGCAGGAATGCCAGAGGTTGGCTGTTTGGATTTTTTTTTTTAGATTATTTGGCCTGCACAAGGAATAGAACAGTCACTCTTATCTGTGATGGCCTTTATATAGTTGTAGTGAAAGTAAAAGGCGATTTAAATTGAATTCCGTCCCAGTGACAATATATGCCGAGGCAATGGAGCAACAGTGTTCTGTAGTGTATGACACATTCACGGGCAAAAAATGTCTTGGGCTGATTGTGCTGTCTAAAAAAGCCAAGCGTAAATGCAACTGAGACGCATCGGAGACGAATTGCTGTCTGATCGCTCAGGCACTTCAGAAGGTGGTTCTGAGACATATTGGAGATGCTGGGAGCCGAGTGGAAATGGATATTTTTTTTTCCAAGCTGAATATGTAATTTTTACTGCTCCCAAAGGAAACTAGGGAGAGTGCGCACAACTTAACATGGGGTAAAAAGTAAAATAGCTTGTATATGTAGTTAAACAGGCCCAAGTAAAACATGCTATTGATAAAGTGCTCATATTCGCATATGAACATTATATCAACATTACCTGTGAATTTTCACAGCAATCAGATGTATTTCTCAAGACTTGCAATGAAGACCATATTATACAAGAAGAGTAACTTTTTTCATTGACTGCTTTCTGATTAATGAGTTGTGTATGTAAGTCACAGAAATCACACCTATATTATTTTAATCACTCACTTGGTGGCTTAAATGTAGCTCCAGTTTAAAACACGTACAGTAAATAGCGTACAGTGAGAGCTAGCCAGGCTGAAGTACAGCCTCCACACAGGGGGGTTAGTTTTAACATGCTGTTACTAAGCTGCTCAAAGTAAACAATGAAAGAAGTGTTTAGTGTTTACCATATTTATATTGTTGCAGATATTTTTATTATATTATGTATATTACAATATGTCACTGTTGTCGGAATAAAACCTTGTATCTCCAAAATGGTAACTTTACAGGAGAAGGAAAAAACCTGCTTTACTTTTAATGTAATGAATGAATGTAATGTAATTTAATGTAATCAATGAAACTAGACTTTTTTCCAAGTTGTTTTGGATCATTTCTTCTAGCCCATTCATCATGAAATTTACATACAATGTAAAGGACAACAGGCACTTTCAAATTATGTCAAAAACTAAAAACTGTCAAAATGAGGTTTTCTTCCAAAGGCAGAGATATTTTGTTTTTAAATTTCAAACAGCTTCAAAGAACCATATTGTATTGTGTTTACATCAGTTAACAGTAGCAACTCAGTCTTTTCCAATTATCCCTGACTATGGGATAGTGTAGTGTGATGGCTGGCTTACCCCCAGCAGGGATCATAAGCTGCTGGCCATGTGATGAGGTGGACTCAAGTGCAGACTCGATCTCACAGTCTTGTGACGGGGGTTATCATCACTGAGCTATCACAGCAGTGCTGTTAAGAGTTTCGTAGGAGGACTGATAAACAAAAGAGGGGAGGTTAAGGCCAAACAAAAGTAACACCAGAGCAGCTACAAACTAAAGAGTTTCAAAAAAGAGGAACAGTCACCAAATGGACACTCAATGTGTTTTTTGTTTGTTTGTTTGTTATTTATACTTACGCTGAGAGATACTCGAGTAACCAGAACATGAGACTCGAGAAAGGAACCAGCTTAATCTGAGACATGCACGTAGCGGTGTGAACTCAAGACCGAGCAGAAAGCAGCATGTGAGCACCTCTTAAGTAGGGTGCCCACAGCTGTTACCCCTCAGCCCTAGTTTACCCTTAGTGGTGCCTTGTCTCCCCCAGCGGCTGGAAGTGGCCTAGCATGAGGCCAGAACTTATAGATCGTAGCTGTAGATAGATTGTAACATAGGTGCTTGAAACACAGATGGCGCAGATGTTTGTGCTGCTTTATTATTCATTAATCAAATGCAGTTTGGGGGCTTGTGACCCATTGAAAAGAAAATTAGGCTACAAGCGACAACATTGCTGACTATAATGAAATAACAACTATCTGTGTTTGGCTTTAATTTGAGTTTAATGGAGAATATTTTTAAAAACCCATCAGATGTTTCACAATGTTAGTCTAAATGAAGCCATGAGTCCAATTTATCTGAATAACAGCAGTAATATGCAGAAAAAACATTCTGATATGAGGTAACTGAATGGTATGCTTCAATTGGCAGGCCTTTTCTGACAAACCAATGATCCAAATGTGGACATTTTGTCCACTATAGACAGTAATGCTGAAAAGTCACCTTTAAAAACATGTTATCAATAATATAGGCTAAAAATATATGTACCTTTGTGGCAGTCATCCCAAGACCCCCCAAATCCATCTTGTATCATTTCAAAAAGAGGGAATGGCATGCCACCCACCACCATCCCCAACCACGCCCCCTTCCTGTATTGCCGTATCATCAAAAACTACATTTTTTTTTAAAATACATAACTCAATAGAAGATTTCAGGTACAGCTGGTTCTGGTATCATGTGAGGAGATTCCATAAAATATTTTATTGTAATTGCTTGTATGCAAGGTTTACTTATTATAACCTATATAGTACCTAATTAGATGTCATTTAAAGTGACAATCACTAATAACTGGATTATTATCTGAATGTATGCACAATAAACATTTTGTTATACAAAGACCTTACAAATTATTGAACATGAATTCACATCTTATTACTGTATAATAGACAGCATTTCATTTCTATAGGTTCCAGGTAGCCTTGAGACACAAGATGTGTTCTAAATTCTGAAGCAAAGTTAAGGAATTAGAGGCTAACAAGTGCTAAACAAGTTTTCAGTGAGTCAAATATTCCCAGCTTGTTTGCTTTTGGCTACCAAAAGGCATAAAATTATCTTTAAACTATGGGATGCAAAATGACGTATTAAAAACGTGTTTAGCCATTTTAGCCTCTTATTAGTGATGACAAGAACTCTACTTTAGAATATGGAACACTTTTTTAGTTGCTTATTAAGCTCTTATTAGCTTTAATGCAGGAGTGACTTGATGCTGCCTAGAACAGATAAAAATAAATTGTTGCCAATTATACAGTAATAAGACTGTAGTTAATTAATCCCTGCTTAGTAATTAGCAAAACCTTTTAAAAAGCCATAACAAAGTGCATATTATGCATTATTACAATGAATAATGATTTTATTAATGATTTTCATAACAGACATCCAATTATGTACTAAGAGAGGTCATGATGTTTATAGTTTTATTTGCCGTGCATTAAGCTTTATTTGGTATAACCTATATTAGTACCAAATTAGATGTCTTTTAAAGTGACAAACACTAATAACTGCATTATTAGCTGTAATAACTCACAATAAACACTTTGTTATACAAAGACTTTATCATACAAGTTATTGAGCATAAATGTACACCTTGTTAATGTATAATAGGCAAGATTTCATTTAAATTGGTGCATTTGGCCTAAAGTGTCAGGAGTACCTGGAAATTCTGAAGCAAAATTAAGAAATTGGAGGCTGTGAGTCAATTTGCATTACAAATTGAATACATATTGATATTTTGATCACAAACAAAACTTTTACATACAATAATTTCACTGTATCTGCATTTGGTTGTTAAACTGGGTTGAAACTAACTTGATTTTTTTCCAGCTTGTCTGTTTTTGGCTACCAAAAAGCCATAAAATGACCTTTGCTTTAAAATATGGGATGCACAGCAAATAAAACTATAAACATTATGACCTCTCTTAGTACATAATCGGATGACTTATATGAAAATCATTAATAAAATCACTTATTAATAAATTTGTTTAGCCATTTTAGCCTGTACTAAGTGATGATTAGAACTCTACTTAAAAATAAAGAATGCTTTTTGAAGTATTAGTAGCTTATTAAGCTCTGATTAGCTTTAATGCAATAAACTCCAGGAGTGATTTGATGCTGCCTGGAACAAACAGAAATTAAATGTTACCAATTATACAGTAATAAGACTGTAGGTAATTAATTCCTGCTTAGTTGTTAGCAAAACATTTTTAAAAGTACCCAATATGCATTATTAGACTTATGTACTAATCTAGATTGTAATGTATAAAGCTTAATATATAGTGAATAACCCATTTATAACTGTCTGATTTAGGCTTTATTGGTGTTGTTTAACTCTTAATGTATATGTGTTGCTTAAACCGACAAATGAACTCTAACACACAGCGTTCTGTCTTCTTGTGTGTGTGTGTATGTTTTCCGCAGATCATCCAGGACAGGGTACACACACACATCTCCAGGAGCAGGTTGATGTGGAACTCTCTGCCTGGCGGACTGTACACACTCCCACACTTCTCCTCTGATCCCACACACTTTCCCTTCTACTACGGAGTCCTGGGTGAGTGTCACCTTTCTGGGATGTTGACATGCAGGCTGGTATCTGTCTGTCTGTCTGTGATTGTATCATTGATTTCAGCAGAGCCTCTGTCAGTGAATGTGTGTGTGTGTGTGTGTAAGTGTGTAGGCGAGAGAACGAGGAAAAAATGTTGTGCCTCCGTCTCTCCTGAGCATCGTCTGCTCAAAGCGGTAAAAGTCTGTCGCAGCAAAAATGAAACCGTAACTCAGATAGATGCCAACCTGTCTCAGAGCAGCAGTGTGTGTGCGTATGTGTATGTGTGTGTGTGTGTGTGTGTGTGTGTGTGTGTGTGTGTGTGCTAGTAGTTGTGTATGAACAGATATGTAGAAGTTTACTTTACCACCATACAGTCACTGTTGGGACAAAACCAGGCCCAGATCCAATCCAATGGGTTTTATGATTTCACGCCAAGGGGCTCGGGCCACTAGGGGACCCCTGCGAGCAATTATGCTAAAATTTGAATAGCTGTTTTGACACAGCAGAAAGAAATGAACTAATTTGTTTTTGTGTTATGGCCGATTCCTGACGTTTTTCATGTATTTCATCAACTCTTCATTTTCTCCGCACTGCTTAGTTACTGCTGCATCACCATTACCTCAGTCAGGAAATTTAAGGGGCGAATAGAGATAAGCTAAGCTAAATTTCTATTGGGAGGTGTCTGTCTCAAACCTTAACCCCTAAATTTACACTTGTAAAAGTAACTTACATGACTTTTAAAGTGAAGTTAGATTTAGATTCATCATGAGTTTGATTGTCCTCCCATGTTTTATGTCACCACTGAAACACAAAGAGTTTTCGTCCATAGGCAGAGCCGTATTTTAGCCACACCCCTGCATTTTAGAATAGGAAGTGAGACTTCATCCCTGTCCCTCTTGGCCACATGGTGAGCAGTTAGATTCACTTTCTGTGTTTTAATGAAAAATATTTAAAGATGTGTTTGCTGGTCATGTACTGGTCACCGTTTTTGAGGTCTGCTCAATATTAGCTAAAATTGTTACCACCGAAACAGTTACTGCTGAACCTTTTAGTAGAGGTTTGGTAGTATAATGATTATTTTGGTAGTGACAAAATGGAATGAATAACGTGAAAGTTGAGACCCCCTTGGTGGGCACGACGTGTTCCTGGGGGTCATGAGAGTGGTGCCATATACTTATACCATATGATGAGTGCATAGAAGTTCTGCTGAATGACTGAATGTTGATTAGAAATAGTTCATAATCCTCTGGGAGGGTCTTGATTGACGGCTGAAATTGAAGCACTTTTCAGTGCCAGGCTACAGATTTACGGATTAGCCAAGGAATGCAGGACTAATAAGTGAGTAGACTTAATATCTGATCATTCTTCTGTAATTTCTTAATGTGTATATTAGTGTGGGGGGCTGTAGGGGGAATAAGTTGGCAAAGAGGGGGTCAAGAAATATTTTTAACCCCGAGAAAGGGTCGCAAGGTTAAGACGTGCGACGTTGACGTGCGATTGTAGGTGTGTGTGGGTTGGTTGTCTAGGGTGTGTCGGTGTGTGTGTCCCTGTGCGCATGTGTGTGTTGAGTAAAGCACGCGCCGTCCCCGTACTTTATCTTGGTGCAGTAAATCTGTGCGGCTGAAGTGATGGATAGCCTGTTTCTCCAGTGGCAGCGACACTGTTAGTCTCACTTTCCATAATTCTGATGACACTGCAGTTTAGACTTCCTGTCAGCAGCTCTAAGCTGCTGTAACAGCTCTATGTGCTGATGAACGGCCTGCCCCACGGAGCCCACGGCCCCCACAGCCGGCCCGGCCCTCATAAATCTATCCGATTTCTTTTGTAATTTACAGAAGAACTTCACACACCAGAAAAGTATGGACCAGAAATTGTGAGCCAGATGACTGTAAGAGCACAAAATGTCCCGTGATGCGGCCAGAATATGTGCTAATAATGCGCCTGAAATTAACAAGTTTATATAGTGTTAGTCTGATGGTAAATATTTATTCAGCACGTGTTTGAAGCTCGTGTCTCCGTCTAGACGCTGTGTCTGCAGCAACTATTAAAGGAGGCCTCCTAACAACATGAGGCACTACTGCTAATCTCCGTCCATTTCCAGCACAATCTTTTCATGTTTTGCTCATTCCTCCCTCAAATTTATATACATTTTGTGTTTTACCACACATGTGACCCATAAACTGTGCATTCATTACATGTGGGTGGAATGCATCTAATCAATATTATTATTCTTATTATTATTATTCATTTTTTATCACTATTATTTTCAGACAGATTTTTGTTGCTAACTTGTCCCCCCAGTTTTTAAAATATGGACACCGTTCCAACTCCAGAATGTTCGGTCTTGTCGGGTACAGTGTGTTTATATACAGTTTTTTGATATGAACATATGTTTTCTTAGAATCATTGTCAAATTACATTTTTTTTCCCATAGACATGGATGGGGTGCAAAAGATTGTGTGCTCAACTTACATCCATTAGCAACACCCAGTTAAACCCTTAATTGGGCAGTTTTATTATACACTTGTATAACCTAAGAAAAGTTCAACCAATTTGCATTCCTGTAATTACTGAATTATAAGCCTTAGTATGTAAAAAGCCTGGGATTTTAAGGGGTTCACCATGTAGGAAACCATAGAAACATCCTAGCACCCACCTGGAATACCATAGCAACCACCTAACAACATCCTAGCAACAACTTCTTGGGGTACCATAGCAACCCTTTATCAACACCTTTGCAACCACCTAAAATACCATAGTAATCTTTTAGCAACACCCTAGCAACTGCCTAGCAACTGCCTAGCAACTGCTTAAGCTGCACAATTGCTCTGCATTTTCTTCAGGAAATGCACTTTTCTAACTCACATTTGAACCTGGTGCAAGACCGCACAAGCTTTAATAATAAAAAAAAATCATTTTTATGTTAAAATAATGGTGACAGCACACTTGCTAATAATGTTACTATTAGTGACCTTTGTCATTTTTTTTTTAACAAAGTGATAATTCTAAACATAACAACTGCAACATCAAAATACTGTTGTAGTCAACATTCTGGTGAACTTAGTGCTCATGCAGTAGTGCTTGGTAGTGAAGAAGCAAAGAATCAGCTAAATTGTGCTTTTCTAATTCTGACAGTTGGTGGAAGAGGTTGGCTCCTGTCAGCATAAACACATGGTTAGGGTTTTTAGCAGATTCCAACAATCTGAAAGTGATGCTTGTAGCCATTCCACCAAATATTCAAATTTTGGCACAATTAAATAGTGAAGATGTAAATAAAGTCATTCAGAGTGGTTTGATGTAAAATGTTCCATTTTAGAGACACTAACCAGAATTATTTACAGTGGTGGTGATAGGAACCAGACGTCTAGAGAGTGTAACTAAAAGCTACTTCACAGAAAGTTATGACATGAAATGATTATGAATACACTGCCTGATGCCTAAGACATTCATTCGTAATGATTTTAATAAGATTTTGGACTAAAATGTATTTGTTCAATCCATTCATGGAGGAGGGATACATGAAGGGTGTAGTAAGGCAAAGTAGTACTTAAAGGAAACTTACCTTTTGAGATTTGCCACTATTTTACTGTTAACGTTACATATAAAAACTCAGAAGACAGATGTAGGTTCACTGGTGCTTTTAGATAGGAAATAAAATATTTGTGTTGTGAATATTGTGAGCCCTGTTCCTTTCACCACCACTGTAAAGGAACCCAAGTTGGCAAGTTTTTCGATGATGATCAATCAGACCACTCTGAATACTTCTCATTTGGTTTATCAGTGGTACATTGCAGCTGTAGTATGGCATGTGGGCACTTTCAATCTACTATTTCAATGTTACATGTTTTGAACAGGTTTGTCATTCTGGAATACTACTTGGTCTGCTAGGTAAAACAGAGTAATGCCGTTTCAGATGCTGCTCTGTAGTGCTATGTCACAGCAAATAGCATCTTCCTTTCAAGCTGTGGTAGTTCATGGCCAGCAATCTTTTATGACTTATTTTTCCAGCTCTAGCCCAACTCGTTCAGCCCTTCAGCTTCCCCATGAGCAGAATCAGGTGTTAGTTGTCAGAGGAGGGAAACAGTGGAGTGGAGAAGATCCTGCAGAGCTAGAATGGAGAACCAGTTTTTAAATTATCAGCACATCTGCTGAATCTTTTAGTGTTTTCAGGACCACAAGCTGCTGTCCAGCCTTCACTAATGACGACAACTCCCTGCAGCACTTCTCATCCACATTCTGGAGAGAGAGAGAGAGAGAAATACTGGTCAAACACTTCATCATTAAGGACACTTCCTTGTATCTACACTCATTGTCCATTTTATCAGGTCTCTTTGCATTTTGAATGAGTGGATCAGACACAGCAGTGCTGCTCAGTCTCACTGCTGGACTGAGAATAGTCCACCAACCAAAAATATCCAGCCAACAGTGTCCTGTGGGCAACAACTGATGAAGGACTAGAGAATGACCAACAAACTGTGCAGCAGCAGATGAGCTACTGTCTCTGACTTTACATCCCTAAGGTGGACTAACAGGTAGGAGTGTCTAATAGAGTGGACAGTTTAAAAACTCCAGCAGCACTGCTGTGTCTGATCTACTCGTACCAGCAAAACACACACTAACACACCACCATGTCAGTGTTACTGCAGTGCTGAGAATGATCCACCACCTAAATAGTACCTGCTCTGTGAGGGTCCATGGGGGTCCTGATCATTGAAGAACAGGGTAAAAGGGGGCTAACAGAGTATATAGAGAAACAGATGGACTACAGTCTGTAATTGTAGAACTACGAAGTGCACCTATATGGTCGGTGGAGATGAATGACAATGAATGTAGATACAAAGAGGTGTACTTAATGAAGTGGCCAGTCAGTGTGACCCTATACATTAATGTATTGACAGTTTTAGATAATTTTGAACAGAAGTAAAAAGCGCTAGCTGGTACATGACTAGCAAGCACAGCTTTGAACAGTTGTACACACATAAAATCATAGTAATTCTCATTAAAATACAAAAAAAGTTTATTAACTGCAGAAAATCTGTTCCGGTAGTGACAATGCTTAATGCTCCACACTGATTTTCAGTTTTTGGGACCCATTCACTTCAAAACAATGGGATCTAACTTCTCACTATGTGGCCATGAGGGACAGGGATGCAGTTTCACTACCTGCTCTAAAATGTAGGGCATGGTTAAAATAAGGCTCCGCCTACTGACTGTTTCGGTAGTGACATGAAAACGGGGGTCACCATTTCTTTCATTAATATAGATTTTCAGTCAAAAATTAAACTCATGATAGATCCAAATCCTTCAACTAAATAAATTAGCTTATATATATATGTTTGTGTGTGTGTGTTTGTGTGTGTATATATATATAAATGCATTCATATGGGATCAATGTTGTGTGCAGGTAAGATTCCTCAGCAGGAGTTCACAGCTGTTATTCAGGCTGTAACTCCTCTCCAGTCTCCACTGCAGCCCATCCTCAAGCTCATCATCGCCGTGGCCAAGTCTAAATTCTGCGCACAGGTATGTGTGAGTGAAACACACAGCTAGAGGGAGACATATTCAGGGACACCCAATGCAGAAATGGTGCTTTTGGTCCATTCTTCATGAAATATACACACAATGTAAAGAACAGCAGCCATTTTCATGTTATGTCAAAAACTGACAAACAGCAAAAACGGACATATGAGGTTTTGTTCCAAAAGCAGCGATATGAAAAGTGATTTAAAAATAAAACTTTTATATAATTTCAGTGGAGTAAAAAAGTATGTTAAACTTTTAAAAATCAGCTCAAAAAATAAAGTATCATGCTTTGCGGGTCAAATTATTTTTGGTTTATTTATTAAGTGTAAATTAGTTAACACATTATTTATGGATAACACACTTCTGCACATTTCACTGCACAATCACTGTTTATTAACTAAATTGAACATATTGGGGGAAAATAAATATAAATTGCAGCCTGTGTAAAAGTTATGCCACATTTTATATTTTGTTGAATTTCTTGAATCACACCTTTTTTATCGCAGATGAACTATTTCAGATGCATGTGTGTGAACCTCATTCAGTACAACTAAGGTTTAAGGTGTGATTGAATTTGTTCCAGATCATCGTCCTGTGGAACTGTGACAAACCCTCTCCCCCCAGAAGCAAATGGCCGTCCACCACCATCCCTCTCACTGTCATTGAAGGAGAGAGAAAGGTAGAGAGAGAATGAGTGTGTGTTTGAGTGAATAACACAAATTTACTGTACATTTGATTTCAATGTCTAATACTTTTTTTTACATGGTTAGTTATATAATCAATGACCTTCACATTCTATTTACATGACATAAATAAAATTACATAATTACATGTAAGGTAATTATAGCATGTAAAATGTAACTAATCTACTTAGATTAGTATTATTTAATGAATTAAGCTCCTATTGGAGCTGTATTACTTTCATTAGAGGAGGTCTGGTAATGTAATTTGTAAGAAATCTGACTGACCGATTCATATAGCAATAAAGTATCTGAGGAATTTTCAAAAAATTGTTCTAAAAACCCAGATCAAAATGTCATAGCCCAGACATTCATTTCAGCACATTTACAAAAATGGTGCTCTAAAAAGATCCATTGAAACCACAAATGGTTCTACTACAGCAGTTATTCAGTTATATATGTGCTTGAATTCATTTTCAGATGTTCAAATGAAGTGCATGAATAAATCAAACTCAGTAAAGGCCTTTACAGTAATTTTACTGTAAAATCGAAGTAACTCTTGTGAATATGCTTTATGTTCCTGTAGATCTACAGTAATGAACATGATATAAACACTACATGTACTTTTAATGTGGCATTTGCTTTGATTTTACAGTAAAATTACTGTATGTCTGCAAAATTATTGTGAAATTTTACATGAACTTTTACAGTAAATTACAATTACAGTAAAATTACTGTATGTCTAAAGACCTTTACACATCTTCTTCAAGTGCAACTTATTTGTCCTCTGTTCATGTTCTGATAATTTTCGCATACGACGTGAACTTGGCCAGGCAACAACCAAGATGACGGAGTGCTTGTGTCCCAGCAGTTAGAACTTTTTCACAGACGTTGAATGGATTATGTTGCCCTCTGCTCTGTCATGAATAGTTTTAGCATCTCCAACAGCAGCTCAAACTGGGCTCAACCTGGGTCACAGAGTTGTTTAAGAAAGCGCTCAGACAGTTTCAGCTCCTGAATGAAGCAGTGAAGTTCTCTGTTCTCCTCTCGCTTTTCCCCAGTGGAAAGTAGCCTAATGTCACTGTTTGCGTGTTTTATGTGGAGCAAAGACACTTGAGGACATCCTGCCTGTTTGTTTGTTCTCTTCAAAGAGCAAAGAACATTTAACAAAAAATACAGGTCTAAGCTTCCAATAACTCACTGTACATTCAGTTTTTTACTGTGTAAATATACGGAAAAGAGACTGTTAGAGCAGCAATTCGTTATTTCTAGCCTCTGCAAAGAGAGAGAGAGAGAGAGAGAGAGAGAGAGAGAGAGAGAGAGAGAGAGAAAGAGAGAGAGAGCGGTAGTGGATGTTAGATTTATTGATCTGCTGCTGTGTTGGTCTGCAATCACAGCGGCTTAACAGATCTCCTGTATTTTACTGTATGTTGAGAGATTTTAATAAACTGACCTTTACCTTCACTTTATACTTTATATGTGTGTGTGTGTGCATGTGTGTGCATGTGTGTGTGTGTGTGTGTGTGTGTGTGTGTGTGGTGGATGCTCCACAGCTGTGTGTGGGTGAATGTGTGAAGTTCTGAGATCCTCCTGAAGTTAGCTCTTTCCATCCTTATCTCTCTCTCTCTCTCTCTCTCTCTCTCTCTCTCTCTCTCTCTCCTTCATCTTTGGTTTAATCTCTGTGCTTTGTCTCTCTGTCTTTTTTCAATCTCTCAATCTATCTCTCTGACCATCTCTCTTTTTCTGTTTCACTCTCTTTCCTTTTCTCTCTCTACCCCCTCTCTCCTCTCTTTCTATCTTTCTTTGTCACTCTTACTCTCCTTCTTTTTCACTCTTTTTCTATCCATCTCTCCCTCCTTCTCTCTCCTTCTTTCCCTTCTTCTTTTTTTTACTTCCTCTTCTTCTTCTTCTGTTTCATCCCTCTTTCCTTTTCTCTCTCTACCCTCTCCTCTATCTCTTTCTATCTTCCTTTTTCACTCTTTTTCCTTCTTTTTTTTTACTCTTTTCCTATCCATTCCTCCCTCCTTCTCTCTCCTTCTTTCCCTTCCTCTTCTTCTTCTTCTTCTTTTTCTTCTTCTGTTTAACTCTTTCTCTAATTGTCTCTCCCTCTTTGTGTCTTTCATTTTCTCTTTCTGTTTCACTTTTTCTCTATCTATCCTTGTATTTTACTCTTCTGTTTTCTTTCTCTCTCCCCTTTCTCTCTACCTTTTTATCCATCTCTCTTTCTCTGTTTCTTCCTTTCTCTCTCTTTTTCTTTCTTTTTGGCCTTCTCTTCTCCCTTCTGTTTGTCATTTTCTCTCTCTCTCTCTCTCTCTCTCTCTCTCTCTCTCTCTCTCTCTCTCTCTCTCTCTCTCTCAGACCAGTCTGTCCTTTTATTGACTCTCTACCTATTTACCTCACCCTCGTTTTTCAGTTTTCCTTTTCTCTGTGCTCGCTCTCTCCTACTCTTTTGGACTCTCTCTCCTGCCCCTCTCCTTCTCTCTCAGTAACTGAATGCTGAGGTGGTCTTTAAACAGGTGGTCTTTAAACCTCCTCCAGTTTATTGCCTATAAAGAGTGTTTCTCTCCTGTTGGGTTTTTTGTCTGATTTTCATGGGACACTTGAAATCCTTGCGGTCATCATCACTTTCATCATTAATGAGGTTTTTAATCTAAATTGATGAGCAGTTTTTCTACTAGATTAATCTCAGGGTGATTACGTACTCCAGTCGCTGTGTAACATAGAACGTCCCCGCGTTCATTCATTTATATACTCTTCCCTTCATTTATTCCTCTTTGTTGTTTCATTCACCAACAGATACTTACAATGTAGAAAAAAACACTAACAATTTTTGTTAAGTATTTTAAGATTTAACACATTTATTTTAAATAAAACCATATAAACAGTTCCAAACTTTTGAAATAATACTTTCTATCTATCTATCTATCTATCTATCTATTAAGATAAATTAATGTTAATTTGTGAATTCACTGTTACACATAAATATACACACGATATTTATATAAGCTAAAGGTCACACTGCACACTGAACCAAATGCTGGAATGTTTAATTTCTTGCTTTATTAGTTGCAGCGATTCATTATTCTGGTGACATTTCATTTAAATAGCTGTAATGGCTCGGTTTGAATCTAATTAGCAGCAGTTCCATAATGACTTTGATTTTAATAAGCACATTATTATCCCTGCTACATAATGAAATATATGTTTTGTGTTCATGAGTTTGCTTAATAATAAACATAATCACTCATTTGTAATACTAACTGTAGCTTGGCTGCACTCGGAAAAAAATGGTGAATGTCTTTATGTTTACTTGGACCAAAGCGCTGGTCACCAGGGATTTGACTCTGGCCAATCAGATGGCTCAGCCTTCTGTGTGGGAATTGTGGGTAAAGGGTTATATGTGGGGTTGGCATGCACTGATTTATTATTAATGTAGGTGATTAAAGGTCTCTCTCTCTCTCTCTCTCTCTCTCTCTCTCTCTCTTTCTCTTTTCTTGCTTCCTTCTACTTCTTTCCCTCTTTCTTTTTGTTCTCTCTGTCTCTCTCACAAAAGTGGAGATGGTGAAAGTCATGGTGTTAGAATGTGAATCTGATCTCATATCCCGATGTGTGTGTGTGTGTGTGTGTGTGTGTGTGTGTGTGTGTGTGTGTGTGTGTGTTTGTGTTTCTGTGTCACTGGGACACAGGGATCATAAACATCAGTGGGGCAGACTCTCACCAGGGCTAGTTAAACCTGACCTTCATGAAGATACAGTGAGAGAGAGAGAGAGAGAGAGAGAGAGAAAGAGAGAGAGATAGACAAAAAGGGAGAGAGAGCAAAAGAGAGAGAGGGAGAAGATGTGTGGAATATAGACAGTGAAAGAGTGAGATGGACAGAGAGAAAAGCTACTGATCAAGTTTTTAAGTGATATTAATCTTTAATTCATGCAGTCCAATTTTATTTTTATCTTTATAATGTGTCTCAAGTCTGGTCAAAGCTCAGATGTTCACAAGTCACTTCTTGTGAATCCAATTCAAGTCTTGACTCCTTGAGGTGTGAGTCTGAGTCTAGTCTCGAGTCTCTGAGGTGTGAGTCCAAGTCAAGCATCATGTGTCTGAGGGGCAAATTTAAGTCGCCTTGAGTCTCTTAGATGAATGTTCAAGTTAAGTCTCGAGTCTCTGAGATGCAAGTCTGAATTGAGTTCCAAGTCTCCAAAGTGTGGGTCCAAGTCGAGTCTTGTGTCCCTGAGGTGTGAGTCTGAGGCAAGTTTCGAGTCTGTGAGGTGCAAGTCCAAGTCAAATGTCAAGACTCTGATGTTACTGAAAAGTCTCTGGGGTGCGAGTCTCAGTCAAGTTTCAGATTGCTGAGGTGCAAAACCGAATCAAGCCTGTGAGTCACTAATCTGAGTCAAATCTCAAGTCTCGAGTCTCAGGTCAATATCAGGTCTCAATTATGTAAGGTGCAAGTCTGAGGTGAGAGTCTAAGTCAAGTCTCAAATCTCTGAGGTATAAGTTTGAGTCGAGTCTTGAGCATCTGAGATGTGAGTCTGAGTCAAGTCTCAAGTCTCTGAGGTATACTTCTGAGTCGAGTCTCGAGCCTCTGAGGTGTATGTCTGAGTTTGGTCTCCAATCTCTGAGGTGCAAGTCCAAGTCAAATGTCAAGACTGAGGTATAAGAAAGAGTCAAGTTTTGAGTCTCTATAGTCCAAGACTGAATCAAGCCTCTGAGGTGCATGTGCAAGCCCAAGTCCAGTCTCAGGTCTCTAAAGTGTAAGTCCAACTCAGGTCTCAAGTAAATAAGGTGTGAGTCCGAGTCTCTGTCCGAGTTCAAGTGTCAAGTCAGGCGTGAGTTGGAGTCTAGTCTTGAGTCTCTAAGATGTAAGCCTGAGTCAAGTCTTGTGTCTCTGAGGTGTGAGTCAGAATCTAGTCTCATGTCTCTAAGATGCAAGTCTGTGTCAAGTCTTAAGTGTCTAAGTCGCAAGGTATAGTTGAGTCCTGGGTCTCTGAAGTCCGAATCGAGT